GTCCTCAGGAGACACTTGTAAAAGAATAAAATAAACAAACCTAATTTTGTTCCTAACCAGTGTCCTAGATGGTGTTCCAGTGCACTCGATAGCACTTAGCAGCTGGCTTTATTTATTTTCATGACTTATTTTCCCCAGAGCCTGTGAACTCCTAGGAGCAGAAACTACATTCTGTTCATTTTTTGTTATCTCAGGGCTGTAGCTTATATCAGGGGATCAATATTTGTGAATAGACTTGAAATTATCTAGAAATTGTGGTTCATGAATACAGAGGGGGAGTCAAGAAGTGATACTGAGTGCACAGGATGGACTCAGCATTCCTGACTCTTCAGGTAAGTAGAAACTTAACCAGATTACCATCATCTTTTCTTACTCTCACCGCAACTTGGAGGTTCTGTGGTTTTGTACCTTAAGCTGATGGTACAGTTGTCAAGCATGCAAGTTCTGGCATTCCTCCCTGGTATTGCTAGAGCCCTGTTATTTCTGTGTACTGGGGGAAGATGGCTCAGAGATGGATTCTGGCACAGGGCCCAGTAAGAAATTTTCAGTGGCAGCTAGTGTGTACATAAATGGGCCTAGCATTCCTCTGGAGGCCCAATGTTGTGACTTTTAAATTGCAAAGCTAACCTGTGTCTACCACCTGTCCAATTCCCTTGGAAGCAAGCCAGCCTTACCCAGCTTCTTTTCAGCAGCAATGGTTAGTTAGGTTGATCGAACTTGAGCAAATTGGAACATGAAGGAAATTTTTCCCAGTTGAAATAAAACTTAAATAAATCTATAACCCTTAATGAAGCAGAAATAAAGTATTTAGCAGAGTAAGTGGAAGGATGATCATTATGACACATTTTGCCATAAATTTCAGTTTTAGAAATGATTGATGTTCAAAAGGTTTCAGAATTTGGCTGTTGGTTGCTACCCAAGAGAAAAAGGTAGTGGGCTTCCACTATCCTGATTTGTCTGGTCCTGGAGCTTAAGGTTTTGAGTCAAGACTTGTCCTAACACCCCTGGCCATTCCTCTTTAGTATTGGTTGAGCAGCCTTTCCTTTGTCCTGTCAATTGACAACATATACTATAGCACATTCTTGTCTAGGAAGTGCCTTGGAGCAAAGTGAGGCTGGGGATTTTTTGGTATCTTTCGGCTTAGCAAACCCCAGAATCTCAATGGCAATTAGGGTTTGGTGGCTAAATGAAAGGGTTATAGTGCAAAGAGAAGACTATTTCAGGTTCTGAGCCTGGGCCATCCCTAGACTGCCATCCGTACTGCTTGAATGGAAAATAGCATTGAATTGTAGCAAATAGCTCTCCCTATTTGTTTCTAGCTTTCAAGCCAATTTATTCCTCTGGCTATAGGCTGAGGAAACCTGGCAAGTTTAGAAGTTACAGAGCATGACAGAAGCAATCCTTTAAACTGGAAAAGTGGACTTTCTGGGGATGAGGTACATTTAAAAGTTCTCCACTTAAGCACCACAACCTCCTTCCCCAGGATATCCTATCAAGGTTTTTAGACCACCGTGGTTTACCATGCAGTAATACACTGTCCCTTTGTTCTATCTAGACTGCAGGAGCTTCAGCACTATCCTCTTGGCAAAGTCTTTTTTGAACAAAAGTCTTGAGGGATCTTTCTAGGGAGCCCTCCATTCCTCTTCCCCACCTTCTGAAGGCAAGGAACTTTCTCTTAAAAGAGACAGTGGGAGTTCCTAGCCATGTTTTTGGAAAAGGCCAATGGCTTGTTAAGGGAAGTGATCTGAAAATGAGCAGCTTTGGATACTTTGAAGTATGTGAGTAGGTGTTTTGTACAGTCTCTGTTATTTAATTGTATCTTCACAGCATTCATGTGAAGTAGTTTATCTGTTCCTTTCAATTGCACATAACAAACCACCAATTAAATTGGCTTAAATAAGAAACCTGTAACATGACAAAGAAGTCTTGATTTAGTATGGCTCCAAGGTTGGTTAATTCAGTGGCTCAGTGATAATACCAACAAAGCAGGTTCTTGCGGTGACTTTCCTCTGCTATTCTTTGTTGGTTTATCCTCATGCTAGTTCGCCTCAGGGTCCCAAGGTGGCTACTGTAATTCCAGGAAGGAAATGCTGACAGAATAATGTGTAACAGAAAAGGGACTAATTTTTCCTTACATTTCATTTTAAAGTAAGGAAATCCTTGGAAGCTCCAGCAGATCTGGCCTCCTATCTTATTCACTAGAAATGGGTCATCTTCTCACTCCTGTCATTGGCAGAGCAAATGAGATCATTCATCATGAGTGGCTTAGATTAATTAGGAGTTACCCTCTGAGCAGTTATCCTGCTTCATCAGTCTGTGGATTAGAAAGACAAGTCTGGTCTGCTAGGCAAGAAAGAAGGGGATAAGGGCTCCTGGGTAGGTATCCAGCAGTGTCTTCTCTACTTGGGTACTCTGGCTTTTAGAGATGAGGAATGTTAGGTTCAGAGTGACTTTTTGGAATCACATACATTAGCAGAGAGCCTTCAGTCTCAGCTCTGTCCCTAAGGCCAGTATGTTTTATAATGTGTTCTCCTGCAGTATAAAATAACTTGCTGCTATGTAAAGACTGATGGTCTGGGAGAAGAGATTTGAATTCGAGTCAAATTGAGCAACTTCACCCCACCTGTAAGAGGATTCTATCCAGTTGCTCTCATCATCCAATGGTGATGTTTAGCTAACACAGGAAGCCTAGGAATGCAGCTTTCAGAGGGCACTGGTTTCCTTGTCCCTCAGACGTCTGTACTGTTTTATAGTTCTCCCTTCTGAAAGCAACCAGTGCCAGAAGGGATGAGGGCAGAGTTTTAGCCTGCTTCCTGAGCCCCGTTCTTGAAGCCCACTCATTCATCCATCCATCTCACAAATCATGGAATGTTGCTATGTGCCAGGCACTGGCACTGTTCTAGGCATTGGGGCTATGGCAGTTAAGATACACAAAGATCCTGCTCTATGGCCTTAAGAGCCAACTTGTTTGGGAATGAGGTTATCCAAAAATACAGTGTGCGTGTGGTTGGGGGAGAGCCTCATACAATTTGCTTTTGGTAGAATCAGACCTTTTGCCTTCCTACTTCTTGATATTACAATTAATGTACTTTTCACATAGGCTCACTCTAATGAGGTAGTGGGGTCCCTGAATAGCAGAAGTAGATGGGATACTAAATCAAACTGAATTAGGAGGTCCAAATCCTGCTTAATCAAGATCAACAAAGAAGACGGTGGCCTACCTCAAGGGTTCATCACCCATCACCATGTCTATTCTGGGAGAGGATAAGCCTGTAATCACTTAGGGAATCAGTTCCAGAATGGGAGGTTGAGGGTGTGATAGACCCTTGCACAAGAGTTGGTATTTACCCTGTGAGGATGATGCTACTGACTTGCATTCTGTATACTCAGGTATTGAAAATAACTTTTAGGATACAGTGTTTCATCTGGTGACATTTAATTTGATACTTTGAAATTGAAATTCTGTAAAAGGGTTAAGGGTGGGAAGTAGTAAGGCAGAACTGAAGTCAGATGGTTTGAATCCCATCCATTTATGAAATGTTCACTGTAAGGTAGGTTCATCTAATAAGTGCTTTAAAATGTTAATGATAGTAAACTTTATTCACTAACATTTAGTCAGGGAGGGTTTGTTCTGGTTTATGTACATTCCCTAACCTCACAATTGCATAAGGTAGGTTAGTCTCTCCATTTCTCAGTTACGAGGCTCAAGCGACTGATCCAAAGTCCCAGTGATTGGGAGGAACTGAAGATAGGATATTTTTCCCTATATCCCAAACTTTAAAAACAAAATACTTTGATTTTTTTAAAAGTCTAAACGACATTATTGATGTTTAGGGACATAGGTAAAAATCATGAATCTTCAGTCAATAAGGCAACATATTAAGGACCTACTATTTCCTAGTGAGTGTGCTGGCCACGGTAAGCTTATAAAGCTTACAGCCTAGTCCAGGAGGGGACACACAAACTAGTAAGTAAAACAAATTACAGATTGGGAGGATTATTAGGGAAATGCTGTAATAGAAAAACGGGCCTCCACGGTAGATCAGTGGTCCGGGAAAAGACCTCTCTGAAATAAGTCAGGTTGAGAGATAAAAAGCGGCGGGCAGGGGAGGGAAGAAGAGAACGTGAGGGTGGAGGGAAAGGAGAGGCTCTGTTCCTGGCCAAGAGAACCAAAAGCAGAGGGGCGCCGAGTCGTAAAGGGATGCGTTTTGCCTGTAGTGGGAATCGGAAGCAGACCAGTATAGCTGTAGCATAGTGGTGAGGGAAAGTCTTGCTTGAGGAGAAAGGAAGTGTCCGTTTACTCGGTGCGTTTTGGCCCTGGAAAAGAGTTTGATCTCTGTGACAAGACGCTATTAAAGCGTTTTAAACGAGGAAATTATCCGATGTGATGTTTGTGTAATGTCTTGTTTCTTAATACTCTTTTCCCAAGCTAAATTGTACATACCCCCGCCTCCCTCCCTCCACGGTCGTCAAAGCAACAGACTTGGAGTGATCAATTGTGGTGGTCACTTGACCGCTTACTGAGGAGGAGGCGCGAGGTGCCGCCCAAGCTGGGCGGGGCGGGAGGGCTCCGTGAGGAGGGCGGCTCCGCCCTAGGCGTGCTCGGCCCGGGTCACTCCGCTGCAGGTCTGGGCCCTGCACCGCAGACCGGCCACGCTCCAGGTAGGCTCCTCCCCAGGTAAGCTACACCACCCTCTGCGACGTCGCCTCCGGCAGGTACCACCCCACGCTGGGGTGGTGCTAAGAGTCCAGCTCCTCCGAGTTGTCTCCGGCAGGCACGGCCCAGCAGAAGACCGTGGTAGGGCCCGCCCGCCGCGCGTGCCGCAAGCTCCGCCCAGGCTCGGCCTCCGCTCCCCGACACCTCCCCCGCGTCCTTCGCGCCGGCCGCGCCCGCACCGACGTCGCGCCCGCACGGCTTGGGGCGGAGAGGCGAGGCTTGGACGTCGGGCGAGCCCGGGCAGCGGAACTGACGCCAGCGGGTTTCCGGGGGCGGCCCCCGGGAGGTCGGCGGCGGCGCCGCAGTCGTGGAGGGGCGGTGGGAGCGTAAGCGGCCGCGGGCGACGCAAGTTCCGCACGGGGCTCTCTTTTCCTCGTCTCACGCTTCTCCTTCCTCTCGCATAGTCGCGTGCTGCCTCCCCACGGCGGCTCTTCACGACAAGAGCTTTCGGAGTGCGGTTGCTGAGGAGAAGCCATCGCCAGCTCGTCTTGGGGCCGAGTGAGGGTGCCTGTCGCACCGCGTCGCCCCCTGCGCTGCCTCCTTGCCCCCAGTGGTGGGCGCCCTTCTCGTTCGAAGCACTCCCCCCAGCTCCATGAATGGAAATCGGCTCCGCAGGTGAGCAAGTCCGAGCGGCTGGCCCAGTGGGCGGGGGTTATCCTCAGCGCATCGTCGCTCCCTCCCAACCCAGGTGCGCGAGGTGAGCGCGGTCCGGGCGGCTTCTCCTCCCGCCCCCCGCCCGGCCCCTCCTCCGCCTCCGCGCAGACCCGCCGCAGTTCCGCGGGGCCACTGAGTAGGCGAAACTGTGGGGAGGGGACACTGCTTAAAGGATTGAAGTTTGGGGTTCTCCAGGCGATATTACTCTTTTTTTTTTCCCTCGGGTCTAGAAGGGTTTGTCGTCGCTTTTGTTATTCCGATTGAAGGTGTAACGGTGTGCGCTTCCTTTAACCGGGTTGTGTATCCCAAGGAGGCACTGGGTGTCGGCTCTCTCTCATCTCTTAGGGTAGTTGTGAAGCTGCATGGAGATAACGGTGGGAATTAAGTTTGAAATAGGTGTAAGCACAACGTCAAATGCAAGATGGCATTTCGTCCATCCCCGAGTTCTCTTCTGATGTTTGTGGCAGCATGGTATGTAGTTCCCGAGGATTTCGGAAATGTCATATTGGCCCGGATTACTGCTTACGTGAGGAGGTGGATCTTAAAATTGCTGACAATATTTTTTTTCATTCCCTATTCCCTAGAGAAGCGGTTATCATATTCCTGGAAATTTGGAATTTAAAAAAACTGCTTTCTCTCCTTCGGAAAACGGCAGTCTTAAGAAAAACTGCAACATGGGCAGTACTTACCTTGAAAAAGAAAAAACACTATGATTCTGAAGTAATTAATTGAGAGATATAAAGTAGATGTTACATAATGGTTTGCTTTCCAAAAGATCATACTTAATATGTTAAATTTCTTAGTATGTTTTATCCAGACAGTAACACATTTATAAGTTAATTTTCAAAACATTGAGGTGGGGGGTGTCTTGTTACTGATGGGATCACAAGTTCTTGAATTTCAGGTCTCGTTTTGCCAGTTTGGGAGGTACTTGAATATAAGGAAAACTTAAATAAAAGAAACCAGTGACCTAATGATAATAAAGGATCTGTTGGTTAGGTTAAGGCGTTTAATTGTCAATAGAAGCAAACAGCACGAATTTGTAGGGATGGGGAGAGGGGATTACTGCAAGTTTTATTATATGAAATTTTCTCTAATCCTTTTCTCCCATTTCTCTTTTGCATGCTTCATTTTTTTGTCATATTTTCTTAAAAAGGGATTCTTTGTTTATAGATTGTGAAGAGTTTTATACTTTCATTTGTTTATCATTGATTTGTGTATTTCTGAAACTGCCCTGGCATTGTTTTTTAATTTTGTATCATACTGTTTAGTGAATATAATGATCTACGGCTATAGGTGACTTTTACATAACTGTCCTCTTGTCAAGCCTGGAAAACAAAACATGAAAGTTAAATACTTTATTAATCACCCTGAGTTTTAAAGATAGTTTTTGTTCTTGTTTTTTAGTTTTTTTCTCTTGGGTTTTTCATATGAAATTCTGCCCCAATGTATGGACAACGTCTTAGAAAATATTTCTGAAGTCCAGTCACCTAGCCAACTGGTCCAACTAGCCACGTATGATTCAGTAAATGCTCCTGTGAATTCTTGAGCTATAGATAAGTTTTACATCTTTTTGCATATGCCACTGCTGAAATATATACCCGTTTAACTATCTTCACATCTGAGGAGGTAGAATTAGATAATATCAACCATATGCTTGGCCATCTTGAAACTAAAGTTTGCTCTTCAGTGCAGTTTATACATGATTAACTGTAGTTTAATAATGAAGATAAAGTATAATATGACTCAGAATTGTCATCATCAAAAACAAAATTTTCATTCTTCCTGAGACTTATGTAATTGTTACGCTGCATTGTGAAATTGAAAGCATAGTTGGGCAAAACATGCAACTGAGTTTTAAATCAAAAATTTGACAGGTACCAGGGTGCCTGCCTGGCTTAGTTGGTGAGGCATGAGACTCTTGGTCTCAGGGTTGTGAGTTCGAGCCACACATTGGATGTGGAGATTACTTAAAAATAAAACTAAAAAAAAAAAAAAAAGAATTTGACAGGTACATATTTTGGTTTAAAATATTTCAGACATTGGCGTGCCTTGTTCGCTCAGTTGGTAGAGCATGTGATACTTGATCTCATTTGTGAGTTTGAGCCCCACCTTGGGTGTAGAGATTACTTAAAAACACTTTTTTAGACATAAATGGTCTCTGGTAGTTTGTTGAGTAAATGTTGGATCTTTGCTCCAATTTTGTTCTAAGGGTTTTTTGTGTGTGTGTGGAGATTTTTAGGTATTACCTTATGACAGGATGTTTTAAATTCTAGTTGTTGAGAAGATACATAGAAAACTTAAATTACATTGGAGGACTTGGACTTAGGATACAAATTCTATATGTGTTTCTTGGTGAATCATTCCTCACTAAAAGTTAGTATTTGTCCTCCTTTTTTGCATGGGATATTTTATTTTTTAGGGTGTCCTGTACATTGTACTGATTTAGAACTTTGTGAACTTTGATTTAACCAGAGAAGCTGGCACAGTTGGTTTTTAAATATAACAATAGTTTTGTTTCTGTGCCTATGACTCCTTGGTTAGAGGAACTTCTGATGAAACCCTGTTTTTTAGAGTTCAGTCACATTTGGACTAAAAGTATATGTTTTAATTAAGTGTCAATAGAAGCAGCAGCAATGTTCATTGAGATATCGGTTCTCCTGAGTAGCAGTGTTTTAGAACCTTACTACTCTAGTCTGTATGTTTAGGTGACGTCAGACTGTTGTTTAGGGCAGAAGGAATTGTACTCACCTACCAATGGAAGAAAAACGTTTACTGTTACTTTAAATTAATGATATGCAAAGTGATTTGATACGTTTGGTAATTGTCTTATACAGTGTTGCAGCAGTGAATAGACCATGTTTCTTAGTGATACTTTTAAGTTCATGTTTGGATCTGCAAAGTGGTTTTAAGGCTCTGCATTTCTTTACTAATAAAAATCTAGGGTCGCCTGGGTAGCTCAGTCCATTGTCTAAGTCTTTCCCAGCTCAGTCTTGGTCTCAGGGTCATGAGTTCAAGCCCCACGTTGGGCTCCACACGTGGAGCCTACTTGAAAATAATAATAAAATAATCCAGCAAAATCATTTGAGAACAAGTTCCAAAGGAAGAGAATTTGCATGTATGGAAACTAAGTTTGAATGAGATGAATAAAAGTCGTGGATTCAAAATACTAAAATATATAATGCCATTAGGTTCTCAGTTTAATGTTTAAAATAATCCTTTTTAGTCACTGTGGGATATGTTTTCTCACTTGTAGATTTTTGTCTTGAAGAAAAATTGTCAAAATGCTGCTCTGTCTGGAGGGCATGAATTTTGAACATGCAAAAGGTTTTTCTACTTGGTTGCCACTTAAATTTTAGTTTGTGCTGTTCTTGAGTGGCCACCATAACTTTTTCCTACTATTTGCTGCTCTTGACTGGCAGTGGGACTTAACAAAAATATGCAAGATTATTTTGATTTTTGTTTTAGAATTGAATTTCTCTTACAGTGATGGATTTTTTTTTCCCCTGAGGGAAAATTGAAAAGGAGGCAAGAAACAACTTTGTTCTTCTAAACAAAGCCTTAAAGGAGAAAAAGAACATATAAGTAACCCTCAAATGTAATTTGCTTAACCTGATGAAAACTTTTAAACGTTATCCATTATTCCATCACCCTGATCACTCTTTAAATTTCTAAGCCAGATTTCAAACTAGTAAATCTCTATTCAAAAGAAGAAAAAAAATTAAGGAGTTAAGTAATTTAGGAAAGCTGCTAGAATGAATGAAATCATTTCAAGATGCTACTCCCTTTTGCTCTTTTGGAAAATTTTATGTACCAAGTTGTGGATTTAAATTTAGTTTATATTCAATAATGTTTTCCAGTGGGGACATTGTATTCGTTTGGTTCTATAAGCCTGGCCTGATAGCATGCAAAGAGGCCTGGGGCCCTGTAAAGGGGACATTTCCTGGAAGAGGTCTCTGTTGTATATGGAAAAACCGTAGTTCAGAATAGAATTCTTGCTAAACTGTCATACTATTGTATTCTAGTTGAAGACTGTTTCTTCATATTATAGCCATCTTTTTTCACATAGGTTCTTATAGTCTTAAAATATTTGAGGATCTACCTGAAAGGTGAGGTAATTATTTTGTCAATTTAACAAAACATTTTCTCTAATAATACTTAAAACTAAGATCTAAAGTAATTTATAAGTTTTTTGTTTTTTGTGGTTTTTTTATAGATGGGAGAATAAGGCAAGTGATAGTTCATTTTTGGGGATGGTAAAACTAAAAATATAATTTATTTAAGAATAGTATCCTTTCTAAACCTATGTAGTCTCAGTTTGTTGGGATAAACAGCATTCACCAGACATTCCTACTTCTAAATCAGTTGTCTAGGATACCCAATAGACCCCCATCCTTGGCTCATTAACAAAACAGATGTGAGAAAGAATATTGTGTGGTTTTTCAACCATAATGGTTATGCTGTTAGGGTACATGAACAGCCTTTCTGTATTTGGAGTTTCTGTAGTTTTCTGCCATTATCTGTGTTAATATTAATAACTTTCTTTGGCTATCCATTGCTTTAAAAAAAAGTCTGTTGAGATTTAGCAAAACCATGTCACACAACTGATGTTTTCTCTTAATTTGAGCTTATTGTCATTTGATTACAATAAAAAATTATTTACATTATTCTGAAATAATAATGAAATAATTTGGAAGAATTCTTTGTTTTGAATCAGCTAGTTTTTTCCTACATTGTTTCTAAGTTGTCAGGTTCTTGAGAAGTCAGAAGGTATCTACAATATAAACATGGGATATTTTTATGTTTTTCATTTGTGGAAGAAATTTTTCAAGAAAATGTTCTCAATTGTAGGCTTATATAATACTATTTTTGAGTCGTTACCAATACTTGATATTTTAACTGATTTCTAAATCATCTAACAAAAGAAGTTCATTAGTGTATCTGAAATTTTTTTTTTACAG